GTTGTTTTTTTTGGTTTTTTGTTTGTTTGTTTGTTTTTAATTTTTTAGAATGTAAATGTACTTACCTCCAAACCTTTCCAGCATATTCTGTACTTCACCCCTACAAAACAGCGTTTAAAATTTTAATTTGCCCATTTTCTGGCTTTAGAGTAAGAGCTGTTTTATATGCTTAAAACTAATTTTATTCATGTGCCTATTACTTGTGAGCAGTCACAGAGCTGCTACTGCTCTACAAGATAAAATAATTATACTCCTTTTTTCCTCCTCTGAGAGGTCCCTTTTTCAGACTGATTTGCTTGTTTAAAAAAAAAACCACTAGAATCTATTAACTTACTCCTGAGTAAAAAGACACTATTAGGCATGTAAGGGGTCTTGAGTGAGGGCATTCAGTAAATAAAATTGAATATTCCCTAGACAAAAAGAAAACACAAAGAGTATTTGGAACATCAGATGAAACAAGTCCATCCCAGGTAGCCTAAATGGCACAGTAAGAAAAATCCAAGACAAAAAATATCAAAGTTGTTTTTACAGCACCTTTAGGATGATAACACCAGCGTGTGAGGCAGTGGTACAATACAGTAAAAACAGTATCTTCAACTCAACAGCTGTAGTCTCCTACAAAACTATTTCAGCATACACTTTTTTATTACATTTACACTGCCCATAGTTATTAAATTTAGTATGATTTATCTGTAAAAAGAATTTATTTTTCATGCAATATTTGGATTGTTCAAAGTACTGGTAATATCTTCAAGCAACCAAAATCAGAGGAAAAAATTAATGGAATTTGATGAAATTATCAATAGTTTAGGATAAAACTGAAATATTTTTTAAAAGAAACAAGTATTTTAAGAACTCGAACAAATATATCAAATTTTTCATGCATGTTCAAAAATACCTACAAAGAAACTGCAGAAGTAATTTTAAAATGTTACATTTTCTTTTTTTACCTACAACTGCTGTATTGTCTGTCACTTGATTTTTGAATCAAATACTAACCAACCCAAAAACAAACAAAGCAAAACAAGCACAGTGAATAACTGAAATTGGTATCTACTTGCTTATTTTGGTAAAAACCCTCCAAACTCCTAACCTTACCCCACATCATCTGGAGCCACATGAGTAGTCGCCAAAGGTCTTTTCTTTCCATGCTTGTCCATTACTGGTGTGTCGCCTTTAGAAAAATTACAGAAATAGTTACAAAAATGCCTTCTATTTTGTGCAGGTGGTTTGAGTTATTAAAAGTGTGATTACTTTTCTGTAATGTCATTTTTCTGAACGTGTCTCACGGGTCATAGTTCACATCAATAACACATGCAGCTTTAAAAAGCAAAATCACAAGTATATATTTATATTATTTTGAAAAAAATATACCCTTGGCTATCAGATTTCTGTTAATGGCGGGGATAAGTGGGACAGGAATTTAGTCTAAACAAATGAAGGGAAGAAATTAATATACATAGATTCCTCTTACCAATCAAAATCACACAGTAGGAGGCTGATTGTCTTAAGCATTATAAACCGTGCTTGCTCAGACATTGGCTGACACGTCTTTCCTTCTATTCACAGTCAGAGATATGATAAACTTCACATTTTAAAAATGTGCTAAAAAAGGGCATATAAGCACCTTCTCTGATATCTTCCTCTGATCCACTCAGTTCTTTCCTATCCTCCTCAAAGTCATAGGCAGGCAGGGTCTGTTCTTCTGGTGCTGGTTTACCAGCTTTCCCTCCATGCTTTCTTCCTGATGGTGCCATAATGAGATCTGTTCCTGCTGAAACAGTATATTGTATTTGTTACATAACTTTCCCCACAATAATTTGACAATAAATGTTTTCATGCTTACATGGACCTGTCATGGATACCTCTGTAACACTCTCCACCTGTATGCAAGCAGTCAAACTGTTTTAGTTTTGAGGTGTTCCACAGCATTACTCATCAGGGGTGTTTTAAGAACTCAATAAAAAAGAATATGCCAGGGCTAATAGGAACACACTTGATTCTGCAGAAAAGGAAGTAAATTATCCATTTTCTTAAGGTGTCTGCCTGCTTACCTTCCATGTTTATTATACATTTTGTCATATCCAGTCCTGCATTTCCCAAAAGCTATGCCACTATTCTATTTTACAAAATATAGATACAGCAAACCATAAAGAACAATATGATTCTACGAGCTATTTTTAAAGGTTCTGGGCAACTTTCAGGTTCTGAATGATCTATCTTTATAGCTATTATACCTCTGCACTCTGTAATGTAATTAATGCCATTTCTACGTTGGTAAACACTTTACACATGCACTACCCTCTTAAAACTATTAATTGATTTAGTTTCATAATACTAATTTTTACATATTCTGTGTATTTTTATAAATATTCAAGGAGAAAAATATCTATTTAGAAGAGAAAGAGCATACTTGTAGTCATTAGATGCATGAGTGTTGAAATATTTTTTCCTTAGCATTTTATCAGCAATAGAAATAATATACAAATACAACAGGAAATAGAAGCTACTGAATCCTTGCTGAAATATTTCTTCGTCTTATCTTTTTCTGATTGCAAGAGCTATGAGGTATTTCAAGTTAAGTGTCCCATGACATTTTCTTTTAAAAATTCTTCAAAAAATAACAGGATTCCTTGGAAGATGGAAAGATATCAGCTGCTAGTACCCTGTTTTCCAAACTGAGCAAGACATGACTCAGTAGTGGGTAAACTTCTCATTCTAGACACAATTCAACACAGCTAGAAATATCTGTAGGTTTTCCACAAGCCAGGGCACAGATGGATCTGAAAATTAAGTTCACACAGTGAAACTGGTAACTCAAGCAAAGGTCTTTTGAATTTCCACGACTGTGAAGTCGTCCCAACATTAACAGCTTTCACACACCTGAGTTTCCTATTTCTGGGGTTGTTTTTTTTTTTTTTTTTTAATTATTTGTCCATAGTTGTGAAAATATTTTTTAACCACACATTACACAGGTCTATGTAACATGACCACACTAAGCTAAGGAACGCTGCTTTGTAAGACCCAGCCTTTTCTGAGGTTGATACTTCTCTCTGTGGTATGAAGATTTTTAGACCTTGCATGTGTCTTGGAAAACAAAAGCAAAACCTCTTTGGATTATTAACTGGAAGAATCAAGAAAGTCCTTGCATTAACATTATCCTCAAATGAGAGAGAATTTTCAAGACTTGATCAGCTTTTCAACTACTGTGATTGCTGAAAACACAACGTGAGGAGGAGAGTCCTGGTGCAGCATCTGGCTTGCGCCTGTTTCTGGGCTGCCGAAGCACTTCAACATTTTACTATTTTATAGGATGTATTTTATCTGACACACAGATGCTTTGTCCTGAAAATCAGTTTACAAAGCAGGACTCCCCAGCAACCCCCCCAAAGGCGTAAAAACGATCTCGCCACCTCGCAGCCCTCGTTCCTTCCTGTGTGCCTGTTTTGGCCGATTGAAGGACCTTCAACTCCGAGCAGCCTATTTTAATTCCTTTTTTTTTTTTTTTTTTTTGAAACTCACCTCTGTTTTTCACCCTGCCCCCCAAAAAAGACATGAAACAAAGCTGTTACTTCTGTGAATCTCCTACGTGGGGCTTTTCAGGGCGGGGACGCACCTGCCTCCGCCTCAGAGCGGCGGGGGAAACTCGGGCCCTCAGCCGCCTCACCCTGAGGGCACCCGCGGGCGGCAGGGACACGGCGCCTCGCACCTCCCGCCGCGGAGGGAACTCCGCTCGCCCCAAGCCCCTTTGTGGCCCCACAGCCCTCACGTTCCTCCCGCGGCTCCCCCAGGCGACAAAGGCTGGACGCGGTGCCGCCTCAGTGCTCCCCCCTCCCGCCCTGGGAGAAGGCGGGAAAGCGGGCGCAGCGCGGCAGGGACACACACGGCGCTCCAGGGCGCCCTCAGGAGCAGGGGGCGGGCCGGGCCGGGCCCGGCACGTCGTGCTCATTCGGCATTAAACTCGTTTAAAGCTCACCTACCTTCACCTGTTTTTTTTTTTTCCCGAAATGGCTTTAATTTATCATTCAGATAACAAAAAGCCTTCAGAAAATATTCTGGTGGATGTAGCTAGAGTACGGTATCACAGGAGGATTTTTCCATAAATCACTGCAAACACGCCATTATTTTTCTGCCACGTTTCACGTTTCAGATTTTTCTAATGTTCTCATTTTCTGCCCTCAGCCAGTTAAGGTATTTGTTTTTTACTTATGAAAACCAAATACAGAATCTAAATTAAAGAAGAATCCTAACACTCTTTCAATTTCCATTGTTCTCATCAACACCAACCACTTAAGAAATTTTACTTGCTACGTCCTTGACGAAGCTTAAGTTTTCCTTGGGTCTTCCTGGGGTGGAGTTGACTTTCCTCACTGCAGCCCTGGGGGTGCTGCAGGGCCTGCACAGTATCCCAGGGCTTGCTCTGTCCCTGTCCCCCTAGCCAGGAATTCGGGGGGAAGGTGGGACCCGCAGCTGAGACAAAGCAGCTTTGCTTAATGAAAAAGGAATTGCAGTGAAAACTGAGGTACCTATACAATTATTTACACATAACTTCATTAGGAAAAACTACCTTGAAAATTTCAACCAAGTTTTCCCAATTATTTTGATTAGAATGGCAAATATAATTTAAAAAAAAAAATCCTAGTCAAACTTGAATCTACCTAATATTTTAAAGTGTAAGAAGTTACAAAAGCTTTCTTGTATCTCTTGAAATGTCTCATAGGCTGACGTACTGCAGATTTAAACTACTTATTTATATTCTACATTTTAGCATAATACATAGTGCTAGTGTGAAATATAACTCTAATAATTATAAGTGCCTGCATTTTTTTAGTGCTTAAAAGTTTGATTCTAATTCAAGAACAGAATAATGCTTCAAAATAATCCTAAATTACTATAGTTGGAAGTTTAAGAGAAAAATAATATAAGGATTCATACACATTACTGGCTAATTTATCAAAATGGGTGAGTTTTTGTTTACTTTAAAATAGAAACAACAGACAAAACTTCCATCATATTTTAGTTAATTTCAAAGCAAACCAAGTATCTTACAATACATATTCACATACATTTTGTACATCATCTGATTACAAAAATTAATGCTTTTTTGAATACTCTTAACACAATTAACTGAACATACACCACCAAAAGTTTCTGCTTGAAAAGATTCAGTACCCTTTCCCACATAAAACAACATTACTCTGATGTCTCAGCAAAACACAGGGCCAAACCCTCTTTTTAAATTTAAAAACACCAAAGCTTTGTATATCAGTACAAACATTGTTTTCCAAAGTGAAACACTGCTCCCAAACTTTTCTACTCTAGAACTTTGTTACCCATTCATATAGAGAGGCACTTTTGCTTTTATAGTTACAATGCTTGTAAAATATTATTCCTTGATCATTCTCATTTCATTACAACCCTCTCTTTGTAATCAAGGCAAGAAATAACATAATTGTATTCTCTGGAGTAGAATACACCAGATATAAAATACCTTTCAAATAACCATTAGATGTTTTATTACTGTGTAATTTTTTTATTAGCATACATTTCTTCCAAATCCCAGTTAAATACTACAAATAGGAAGATGAATTGTCACTGTGCTTTAAAGAATGCCAACATCTATAAATGTATACTAAATTTAAATGACAAGTCACATAATTACCAATTTCCCCATAGGTCTAAAAAAAGCAGCAATGACAGAAATTTGCAAAATGCTTTGGAATGCAAGACTAAGGACTTGTTAGGCTGATCCCAAATAACATTTCCTTCCAACATTTTATCTCGTTGGCAATATCCACTGCAATAAATGCAGTTACATTTGTTTAGGTAACCCTTTTTATAAAAAAGGATAACATGGCCAAGGAACTAAGAGTCATAAAATAAGATCTGTTGAAAACTGCCTATGCACAGGTTTCCTGCAATTATTTTTTGTTATTTTGTGTTATCACAGTTCCAACAGCTTTTATATCATGAAATTACTGCAGAGATTCTAACTCTAGATGCATGATTTTTTTCTTCATATCAATGTAGCTAAATGTTAAACCAGAAAAGACACTTATGAAAGAAAGATTTAAAATGCTTAATCACATCTTGAGGTAGACTGATCTCCAAAATAAAGCTCTTCTACACTTTGATTCGTTCATGACCAGCTTCTTTTTGGATCCTTCTCCTTGGAAAAATCTTTCGTTTAAGTGCAATTAGCTGAGGAGAGAAAAAACACAATATGTAGTTCTCTGCTGGGCTAAAGGTCCACAGCTGGTCAGGTTTTCACCCTAGAAACTATAAAATCTGTACCCTCTACAGTAATTTAGTCAATACTGTACTTTTTTTTTTTTTTTCACTGCACAGGAAAACCATATTTTGCTCAAATTCATCTATTAGGTCTGCACATTTCCACTGGACTTCTCAATAATCAGAATACAAGCAGAAAGTATGCCTATATTCTGGTTATTTCAAAGGAAATTTGTGTATTTAAATTAACACTGGGCTACATTCAATTTCTAAAAGATCAACACAAAGTTGGCATCTTAAAACAGCATTTATATTCCTAACTGTAACACTGAGTTGAGTATCCCCTTCCAAAACCAAGTTACTAACGGAGTTTTCTAATAGATACAAAAGGCTGAAAATCAAGGGAAAGAGTCATGCAAAAGTTACAGGTGGGAAAAAAATAATAATCAAAAGCCAACCTTTCAAGAATTACACCCTCTTCATCAGACCACGGAAAGTGTTACTTAAGGCCCCAACCTGCAAAGAATTACCCATATCATTTGTTCCATTGACTCCCTCTGAGTTTAGAAGGACTAATCATGTTTAAGAAAGCCATTTTAAGCTTGCAGAAGTGGCATTTTTTTTTCCTTCAAGTCAGATTAAAAACCTTTTGAATTCAATAGAAGTCTTTGCAATTATGTAGGGAAGAAATTTTGAAAAGATTCTCTTCAGGACTACAGTATTGCTATTACTTAAGTTCCCTTTCTGTTAATTTACTTTGCACTTTTACCAATACGTATGTTAATTGATCAAGAATTTCAAAAACAAGTACTAATTTTAAGCTTCCAAATTTAGCATATTGATTATGAACTTGACAGTCACAAGGCACCTGAGAAGGGAATACCACTCTTTCCCCCCATATGACTCTCTTTACAAGGACTCTCAACATGATGACTTAAAAATTGAAGCAACCTAATCATTATTCATACAACACCTTTACTTCTAAAAAATCCTAGCTACTCTTCAAATCCTATTTAAAAGAAATCTATTTGATGTTATCCTGAAGATTCCACAATCTGTTAAGCATTATATAAATTTGATAATACATTAACTTTACCTGTTCAGCAAAAAATGAGATGACTGTAAATACAATAAGTGTTACTAGAACACAATGGGTCCAAAACTTGAGCTTGTCTCTATATGCCCTCCTGGACAAGAAAAGAAGGAAAGAGAAAAACAGTTTCATATATTATAAATTCAAATTTTCAAAGACTTTCCACTAAACATGCAAAAAGAGTTTTTTCCAGACTTAAAGGGTGACTGCAAAGATGACAGAGGCTCTCTTCACAAAGAGCCCTATGGCGAGGACAGGGGGCAACACGTACAACTTGGACTGGGAGAGGTTACGTCTTGACATAAATGAATTTTTTTGCAGTGAAAACAATCATTCACTGGAGCAGCCTCCCCAGGGACATCGTGCAGTCTGCACCGCTGCAATTTTTCAAGATGTGGTGGGGCACAGTGCTAGATCTCAGAATCAGTTAGGTTGGAAAAGACCTCTAAGATCAAGTCCAACCATTATGCAAACACTGCCAAGTCCACCACTAAAGCATGTCCCCAATTGCCACATCTACACATGAAATGTTTCCCATGAAATGCTGGACCAAAATGATCTTTTGAGATCCCTTCCAACCTGGGCTGTCCTATGATTCAGAAAACATTGTGATTTCCAGCAGCACTTCAGCATGCTTTAACCCATCCTGGTAGGTTCGTCTTTGACTACAAGCAATTCAAATTGTCTTTCTGAAGCTACGAAAAGTCTTGATGGAGGTTCTCAAAAAGGGAGTCAACAATATGTCTATTCCTCCAGTGCCAATTTCTACACTAACTGCTGAAATGGGTTTGCCCCCTTCTCCCTCTGCCACTATGATCCCCACCTGTTCTCGTCACCTACAATCCTTCTGATTCCTTCCACAGTTCCTCTAATATTTTATCTTTCCTTATTAATGGCTATTTTTCATAATGTGCTGATCAGCAACATATTTACTACATTAGACTTGTCTCACTTCTGTCACTGTACTTGTCAACCTTTTGCTTGTATTCTCCAGTCAACTACCCCAATTTCTGAAGTTATTTATAAAATGGTAAGAGATAAACACACAAAAGTCTCACATTTCATGTACAAATGAGACACACATATATCTTTCCTGATTATTATCCAGATGGTTTGGTGTTTCTTAACATTTAAAGAAACCCATAATTCCTGAATTGCCTAAACAAAACAACACTTTTTCTTTGCAGTAGGTTAGGGTCAGTTGATCAAATATTAATGACTATTTAAGCACAAGAAAAACTCAAATCCTGCAGACTTCAAATTTTAGTCTATTCTAATCTTTTTCACTGTTAAGTCCTTCATGACAGTAACTTGAAAACAACTTGTGTAACATACCATTCTTGGAGTTCATGCATGTGAAGGAAACGATTCCGATATTCTCTTGGCAGTTCAAATTGGGAAGGTATGGGAAACATTGATTCATAAAAATCCCTAAGCACTGCTTTCACTGTTTGAGCATCCTTATGATTGTGATCAATATTGTCATTTAGGCAAACAAATTTTCTAGAAAACAAGATGAAATTGTTAGAATATTTCTTTAGTAATATGGCAAAGGTATTGGCAACCCAATAATACAAACAGAATCCTTTTTTGATAAAGTATCCTTTTAAAACCAAAATGATCTATTTTTTATTGTTGCATTACTTTAAATTAATTTGGTTTTAATTCTAAGAGGAGTAAGGTTGACAGCAAGTCAAAACCTCTCAGGAATCCAGTGATAAGCCACATTTCTCTCTTCCAGTTAGATAATGCTGCCATCTAATGGGCACCAGTGTACACCCATCGTAAACAGCATTATGATTTGTGTAAGGATTTTTATAGTTTTAAATTATCACGAGTACCTTAAATAACAAAGTGAGCTCCACTGTAGGAGATAAACATACTCAGTTAGTAATATTTTACTGTGTACGCTGCATTCTTTAGAAAAAGTCAACATAAAAAGTATGGAAGATTGTATAAGAGAGGGCAAAGCTTGGTCCCCAGGCTTTGGATTACTGAGAACATTACATAAATTGGACAAGACAGGGCTTGAATCACAGATCCAAAGTTAGAATTGAATAATCAACCAAAATACAAATTACAACAACCTGGATAGAATTGATATGGAAATCACTGTGACCAAATAAGCACGTGCCCAGTAATGCCTCTTGCAGAGAGTTATTTCTTACATATGAAACGCACAAATATTTAAGTTACTGCAAAAAAATTGAAACTAAAGGAGCAGTTAGTGTGTTAGTCTGTTGTGTACCCTTGGCCACTATGACCTGGTGCTTGACAACAAAAATTCCGCTTCCCACATATGGGCAAGGTTATGTGCTTTATTTATATTGTGAGATACAAGACCCCTACATTTTCCCCAGAGGCAGAAATCATATCTGGTGACATATGCCTTGTCATTGCTAACCTTTGCAAATAAGTAGTTCTGGTCAGCTGTATTCTCTATAGTATGGTATGCTCTTTCAAAGAGCAAAGTTCAGACTTCCTACATGAGGCTGGAAATAAGCATAACCCTATAGCATGTGTAGCAGCCCACACAGGGAATTACCACTGAATGGTAGTGTACTGAATCTGGCATAATTGTTAACCTCGCTCTAGACAGTTACGTGCAGGGGATAAACAGCCATTCGAATTGTTACATCAGAGAAGAACAAAATACGCCTCTCCAAAATTGAGCAGGCTCTATCAACCCTATCAAGTAATACCATGCAAAGCAGCTGGTTATGGCAATCATGTCTACACTATAAGCTATTTGGGAGTTCACTCTGGACTATCCCTGACCTTGTCCATTGGACTGGCAGCTTATTAGCCCTGGGAATACAGTAGCTGCACTCCTGTTTAGCTTCATCTAAAAGAGATGCAGTTTACAGACAGAGGTTGCTACACACAGCAAACCAAACCACAGTACATGGGAGTGATGAGGATATTAGCCTGTTTCTAAGGGAAAGACTGTTTTAATCCATTCAAAAGAAAATAAACATGACATTCCTTTGGATATTCCCAAATTAATGCCTAGGCAATTAATGCTCACTTTGCCTTAAGGATGCAAACCAAACATTTTAGGCAGATCAGTAGGTGAATAGTTCATTCCAAGACAGGCACCAAATACCTGCTTTTAGAGACTGGGGGTAATTACTGGTTTATACGCAATGAAAAGATAGCAAAGAGAAGGAAACGACAAGCCTACGTAACTGTGCCAGCTCTCCTTTGCTAACAAGGTACAACTAAAGTACTGCGCTATATTCTGCAGGAATACAGCCCAAGAAATTGACTCAACCTCACTTCATGAACTTGAACACTGAAGGTGAGAAACTCATGTTACCTGCCCTCTTTGGGCCTGACAAGGCTTGAAATCACACCTACCTTGAAAAAAAACCCTCCTAGCCAGCAGACAAAAAAATAGAGAACAAAGGGAAAGCAGAAGGATGAGCTAGAGCACTGGCTACTTTTCCTTTGAAACAGGTCATTGTGGAAAATGGAATGCAGGAGTTGTGGCCAGAAGGCACTCTTGTAGCAATAGATACAAACCACCTTAAGCTGAAAAATGTCTCAAGACTAGCATTTCCCTTTCTGAATGAATGAGCTAGTAAAAGTAGTACAGTATGAGAGGAAAGTGAGAACCTGCTCTCTATCTATGAATACAAATAATGGTGTAGTGTTAAAGGCACCTGAGATTACCCAATAACTTGCTGCGACCAAAGGAGGTTTCACTTTCCTTGGCCCAAGGTACCTGGTTCTACGTTTCTCCTTGCTCTGTCTTTTGACACTTGTCAGACCCCTTCTTGAGGCCAAACTCGTTAAACTGGCAGAGAACTCTGGTTTTCTAAAGACAGAAGCAAGAGAAGGAAGGAGAGGAGAGAAGTGGAGGCACTGTCCACTTCTAAGACAGTTAGCTACTAAATTATATCACAGTGTCTTCTCAACCCCCAATTTTATGCAACAGACTCAGGTCTACAGTTAAATGCTTCTGCAAAGAAGTTTCAGGCTCGAGTCCCAAACATAGCACACTTTGCTTTGCAAGGTGGTTGCTGTGAAATGTATTCCAGGACACAGATTTTCTCCATTTACCTCACAGTCATTTCAGAAGCCTAAGTCAACACTGCAGACTCTACTCTCAGATTTGAGTATCTAAACCTCTTACCCCTGCAGAGTAAAAAACAGAGGACTACCTTCCAGCTTTTACTTGTTTCCCATCAAATATTAAGAAATAAAATAATATTAATACTTCTTGCCATATTGTAAAAGAGCATGAAAGCACAACGAATAAGCAAAACTGATTTTGTAACAAAATAATAAACACCTAAGTTTTAGTATAAAATACCTACACAAAGCAGATCCAAAAGCTCTTCCTTTAAAATAAAACTGGCTACAATATAAACTGTATGCCCTCTAAAATGGCAAAAATGAAAGCTTCAAAAATAGCTGAAGCTTAAGTTTTCAAAGACTTTAGATATATAAAAATATAACAAATTACTGAGATAACCCTTAACCTAACAGAGAGGGGAGTCACTTAGCTTCAGACAAACAGAAAAAATTAAAGTACTTTTGGTTCAAATTGGGCTTAGCTTTGTTAAGAAACACACAACAATAAATTATTCTTTCAACACACAAAAAGTTTAAACAGTCAAAGCAGAAAATTAAAACCACCTCACAACTTCATCACAACAAATCACAAAACAGGATACCTGGGATTTTTTCGTATGTCATCCAGTTGACCAACTACATGAGAAACGTTTGTGCGAATCATTTTGAAGGCAATTTCCTCTTCTCCCATGATTTCAAACCTTAATGTTAAAAAAATATTTATACATTAATAAAACAACCTGAAGCCTAGTTCTATAAATATTAATCTTGAATTTAACATAACTTAGTAACATTTCTAATCTGACTGGTCAATCTTCATCAGAATTTGCCATTTGCTTTCTATCAATATATTTACATTTTTTGGCCAATGTTCTTGCACAGAATCACTTTCCTGTAGATTTATTAGTAACCACCTATAAATTGAAGATCTGAATTCTAACAGAAAGTATAAAAACTATGAGCATCTGACCCCAGGTTAACAGTCTTACTAGTGGGACTACACTTATATTTTTCACCTTTCTTGTCTTGATATAAGAAAACACCTTGCTGGCTCCTTGAAGTATCAGTGGAAACAACCTAATCCATTTATAAAGACCACAAAATTAATATAATCATTTAGCGCATACCCTAATGATATAAATACATTACCATAAGTCAGTTTAGGTACAGCAAATCCTTGCCCCCCATTTTCCAATCTCATTTGTTGGTCAGCTTTTCAGTTTTAGCAGAAACTCTTTGGGGAAGGGAATTAATTACAAAGTTTACAGCACAACTGGATGTTCCATAAATTAATGTATAACAACACCCAGAAGTTGTCCTAAGCAGCATCTGTAACCTTCTTTCATTCTACAGTTTTGAGTTTTTAGCCACTCCTGGGGCAACCACATGTGTCAGAGACCACCCGGCCCTGCTCAACACTGCTGGTGAGAACAGGAGCCAAAGCTGTAAACTCCAGCCAGCAAATAGCCTCACTGGCCTGCAGCTGGTTTGCAGGTTTCATAGAGTCACAGAATATGCTAAGTTGAAAAGGGCTCATCAGGGTCAAGTCCAACTCCCAGCCCTGCACAGACACAACATGTGTCTGAGAGCATTGTCCAAACACTTCTTGAAATAAGACAGGCTTGGTTCTATGACCACTTCCCTGGGGAGCAAGTTCCAGTGCCCAATCACTCTCTGGGTGAAGAACCTTTTCCTGATATTCAAACCAATCCTCCTCTGACTCAGCTTCATGCCATTTCCTTGAGTCCTGTCACTGATCACGAGAGGAAAGAGATCGGTACTTGCCCCTCCACTTCCCATTTCAGAGAAGAAATATTTAAGAGAACCTGATCTCAGTCAAATCTCTGCAGATACAAGCATTCAAACAAATGTAGGGTCATGATTATGTTTGTTCTGTCCTTTTCCAAGGGAGATGGAACAGCTTTTCTCATCCATCTCCTTCCCTACTTATCACTCCTCCTCACAGGAAAACAAGGTCATTAAGTCTAAAACGCTTTTTCTGTTCTCTTTTTTATGCTTCAGTAGGAGAAAGGATGAAGTAGATTTACAACTTCTAGGTACAGGACCAGCTCTGTCCTCCTTTTTATGCTACTTTAACTGTCCTCACTCATTACACACAGTGAGTTTAAACAGCCATCTAAACATACTCTGGCTTACTATTGTACAACACAAATTAGGATAAGGCCCAAGAGAGCACAAGCAACATGGAAATATTTAGTCTACTAAATAACAAACCACCTCATTCTGCACAATGAAATATCCATAAATTAATAACTATGTTTCTTTAGTTCCACGGTTAAAATATATCAAGCTAAGATTTGTTAGCAGACACATACAATCTTGGGTTATGTATGCATTTATCCTCTTCTTATGGCTTTACAAAATGTAACACAGCTTTCCATAGGACTACAACAACATACCTGTATTTGTTTTTGTCCTTGTACGCCTTACGAATTCTGTCGGTCACAGGTTTGCAATTAGTCACTAGGTTTTTGGTTACTGGAGGCTGCAAGAAAACAGTTTAGATTATAGGTTACTAAAAACCAGAGAGTCTGTTATAAAGATGTACTTTGTAAAAAAACAGTTGGAGAGGCCTGCATATGCTTTACTCTCCTGGAAGCAAAAGTTTCTTGATCAACTGTTGAGGGAAAAACCAAAACAATACTGGTGCATAACATCACAATTTCCCATGCATGTAGGTAATATATGAAAACTATAGTTTGGTTTTTTGTTTGTTTTTTTTTTTTTTTTTTTTTTTTTTTTTTTTTTTTTTTTTTTTTTTTTTNTCCTCTGATAAAGGCTACCAGTAACACTGGCCAGGTAAACTCTGTGCAACAGCTGATTCGTATGTTGAAACATACATGAATTCATCTGGTCCAACTTCCCTGATCATGCAGGGCTACTTGGTGACAGTTGCTCACGACTATGCCCAGACAGTTTCTGAATATCTCCAAGGAGGGACACTGTCCATAAACAGGCAACATGCACCCTCACATTAAAAAAAAAAAAAAAAAAAAGTTTTCTGATGTTCAGAGGGAAACTCCTGTGTTCAGTCTGTGCTCAGTGACTCTGGTTCTGCTACCCAGCACCGCTGAGAAGAGCCTGGCTCTGTCTCCTTTGTGCCTTTTGTTCAGATATTTTAATACACTGAAGAGATCCCCCCTTGAGACTACTCTTTAGGTTTAACAGTCCCAGCCCTGTCCTCTCAAGAGAAATGCTCCAGCCTCTCAATCATGGTCCTTCACTGGACTCCATCCAGTATGTCCATGTGACCCTTGTACTGAGAAGCCTGGAACTGGACCCACCACTCCAGATATGGCCTTACCACTGCTGAGTGGAAAGGAAGGGTCACCTTCCTTGACCTGCTGGCAACACTTCCTGTAATACAACCCAGGCTACCATTAGCCTTCTAAGCAGCAAGGTCACACTGCTGGCTCATATTCCATTTGGTGTCCCCCAGGATCCCCAGGCCCTTTTCTGCCAAGCCATGTTCCAGCTGGGTAGTGCCCAGCATAATACTCCTGCACGGGGCTTTTCCTTCCCGGAACAGGTTTTTGCACCTCTCTTGGGTGAACTTCATGAGGTTCCTGTCAGCCCATTTTTGAATATTAAAATACGGGAGTCTGAAGTCTTCAAATTCTAAAGATGCCCAGCTGGTAGTTTGGTGAGGTTTTTTTATTTTGTTTTGGTTTCATATACATGGGTTATAACTCAGATAAAGACTTGTCAGAGAGGTACTGATCTTTATCTTTTTGGTTCACAACATAAATTTTCCTAACAAGGATGGACTTCTTAAATCCCAATTATAATAACATTCTAAAGCTCAGTTTTCCTCTGCTTTTAAAGAAAATTAAGGGGTTTTAAGGTAGGAAGTAGCTTGTAAAATTTTCATTTTGTAGCACTTCATATACACACAAGTAGCAGTTTTTATAACTACTTTCCCTCTAGAAATCAAACCAGCTTTTAAACCACAATAAATACATACTCAAAGAAAACAAGTATTTTTAAGACCAGTGTTTCTTACCAGATTTGGATCATAATACGCTTCTTGAGTCGGAGGAATAACGTGGATCTGAGTAATGTTGGCAGGAAGAGCTTTAGAGCAATTTATTAGCATTTGTTCTAGACCTGTCAAATCCTAACAGAAAGAAAAGGAAAAAAGCCACATATAATCAATCCTGTTTTCTCACTGACATAGTTCTAAAAATCCAGGGTACACAGACATATTCAATGTTATCTACAAAAGAAATTTCCACAAAAAGACTAAATATTCAGCAGATCCCATTTCAATAACTGCTAAGTCATGGGACTCCCTATACACCCAAAGCAAAGTAAATGGTCAGTGCAAAGTTGAATTGAGAGCAGATAAAACATGACTTAATTTCACTTACAATTAAAAACACACCTGTACTGACGGTGTCAGGACAGCACAGAATTCCCAAATCAACACTGGCATATTAAATCTCAAATTAAACAAACAGACAGAAAAGTGAACTGAAAGGACAGGAAGATTTTCTGATTAAGGTACAGGCCAGGAACACACTAAAGTAGGGCTGTGTTCCAGCTATGCCAATCATTTTGTGCACTGTCACAAACAGATTATTTCACTAGTTTGTCCCACTTCCTCTCTGTAAAGCAGAAACAGTCCATTTCATTCTCTACCTGCATCTCTAAGAGAGCAAGTCTTAGTGTCTCTGTTTATCAGATTCCTAGAAAAACAGAGGTATCACTCTTTGTATATGGGCATACTGGTTATTAGTATGACTTCTTTGCTACCTTTCTTCTCAATTCTTTCTTTAGACCTCAAGTTCCTCAGGGCAAGAACCATCTTTTACTGTGTGCAGGAACTAGACTAAGCACAGCAGGATCCCACTCTTCACAGTGAGCATTTTTTCTGACAAACTTACACTACTTTCTTGAGCTGGGATACCAGTGAGCCATTTTTCTGATGCTGCTCTAACTCAATTTCATTGCAGACTCCACAGAACACTGATAAGGTAGAACACAATGTTATATGCTCCACATAGTATTTAAAAATTGCTAAACGTTACAGATGCTATAAGCAAGGATAAATAAAGATTTGAATCTTTCTACTTTAAGAATTTTTTACTTTAAAACTGAAATTACTCTGAAAGCTATTGGTAAGAGTACCTGCAAACTTAGTGGTAGTTCATGGATTCTCGTGGCCAACGTGCGAATCTCTCGGTCAGACAAGATGCCTGACTGGTCCGTATCAACCTCATCAAAGATCTGAGAGATGTTCAGTGGCTGAACTGCACTCATAAGATAGTAGAAGTACGAAAAAGCGAACTGCATATCTTCTGAGTGCCGCACTTTGTGAAATGATGTCTTGTCAAACTCCTCAGGAAACCTAGATAAGATAAAAACTAATGTAGCACTCTAGTTCCTTGAAGCGAAACATTCCTTACCTATAAATAAGTTCTTATCTATAATTTTGAAAGGTCTTCAAAAGTCTCCTTATTTTAGCACAACTAGCATGTGGTAATAAATGTCTTATTTCTTTTTTCAAAATCTAATTTTAACGAGTGGCCATTAATACACTGGAAATAGCTCCAGCAAAGCAGCAACAGAAAGGCAGAATTACTCGCACTTTTTCATTATTCCAAACAAAACCACACTCACATGTCCTGCAGCTCTTGCATAACAGTGCGGTCAATCATGTGAGGCATATGAGCGGGGACTTTACGAGATGTAAATCCAAACTTGCTGTTTAAAAGCTTATTTACATATCGAAGGGAATCAGCAAAGGTATCTTTCAGCTGCCTTCCAAAATGCTTGCCTTCAGTAAAGTACGACATTTGTTTGAGTAATGACTCTTCTTCCTAAAGAGCAGGGCAGGCATAAATCAAGGTTACCTTACTGAAAAAAGGCAGAAAACATTATGCACACAGGAAAAATGACATTTCAGCCAGGTGCCAACTCCTTGCAACATGTGGAAATGGGAAGAGAACTTTTGAATATTTTTCTTCACATTCCTTATTCTCTTTAAAAAGAGAACATAAAAGGTAACCTTTTCCTTAAAGCTTTCATGCTTTGAGGAAAACTATAAAAGGTGTCCTTAATATTTATGCTCCGACACCTCACACACAATTAAGGCCTTGTTTGTCATCAGATTTTTTTGTAATATTGCCCTCTTTTTTTGCTGATTATTCATCCATATTTGATAAACTGAAATCCTATGAATATAAAAAGATTCCTCAAGCAAAATTCAATCTCAGATGAACAGAAAGTATTTTAAAAACATGACCCCTTTGCAATTTGGAAAAGGGCAAAGCAGTTGCTACCAACTGAAGCACAATCTGTCTGCTCTTCTAGACGTTTTCAAAACCAAGCCAAAATGCTTTGGCTGGAAGCAGAGGAAATTTCCTACACATTTTCTTGACACAGTTGAGATACGCAGCATCTTTGCAGGCTTTCAATTTCGCTTCTAGAACATTAGTATTTATTATTATACCTATTTTTAACATTTTTTTTAAACATAAACTGGATCCAAATATGTATAAATGCTATTAAAACAAAATTTAAGCTTTCTTTTATAGTGCAATATATGTCTGAACAATAGCACTGTGCCAACACACAATGAATAAAAAGTGAATTTCACCAAAAAAAAAAAAAAAAGGCAGCAGAAAGGGAACAGAAATGGCTATTTGGCTTTAACCACCTAGCTAAGAGAGGTCCAGATCATAAACAAATTAGACTTTATGTGAAAAGTCAAAAGTAGCTTTCAAAAAATATCAGCATTTGCCTCAAAGGCAAAACACATTCCAAATATATAGATCATATTAACAGTATTCCACTAAATGCAGAAAGATGCAACTATTCCAATAAGCAATGACATTAAGATACTCACATCAAGAAGGTCCTGGAAATACTTCTTTTTCTCCCACGGCAAAAAGCCTTGGTAACTTCCAGCATAAGACTGTAATTTTCTTCCCACTAGCCCCTCCCTTTTATTTGTATCCACCTGCTCCTGCTCTTTTCCGCCTTCCATTCCCTGTACGCCTTCTCCAGTATCTAAATTCCCAGTATGTTTTGATTTCTGTGTTTCCCTTAATATGAGTGCATTCAATACTTTTTCCCGAGTATCATTTTTTTTCCCCATGCTCTGGGAGGGAAGTGTGGCTTTAGGTTTTCCTTTATAAATAGATTCATTTGTGTTCATTGTCACAAGAGTCCCCTTTGTTCCCACAGGCCTTGAAGAAACATCTTTATTTGCTTTTATTGGTTTTATTTTGCCATTATTTACATCTTTATAAGGCTTCTGCAAGCTAGTATGGTTCTTCAGATCTTCTGAATGATTATGCACACCCCTCTTTTCCAGGTCTATAATACTCTTCACTGTAGTTAAGAACTGGAAAGGTCTCAGGAGAGCAGCCTTGGATAGATTAAATCCTTTCTGAGTGATATCACCATTTAGTAGTTTTAAGTCCAGGTTCTTCAGTTCCAGCTGAATATTTTCAGGAAGAAGAGACACATTTACTGATGGTATTATCACCTCTTCATGCAGACTCTCTTTTGTGCCATTTTGACGTCTCCTGACTCGTGGAAAGCGTTTTTCTTCAGGAATATCCTCAAATATCATTTCAGCTTCTGGTACTGAAGTTACACTTTTAAAATCAGAGTTGGATTTCTGTGTGGAAGTTATGTTTGGTTTTGGTTCCTCTCTAGTATCAACTTCAACAGCTACTTGAATTTTAAACTCTTCATCATTTTTATTTAGGAACGTAAGGTTAAAATAGATCACAGTTGCATTCATGCCACTATGCATTATGAGGTGGATAGTCTTCCATTTGTTAGCAATTGAAGCATGTCGGATGATTGGATTATCACTATATGAACCCTCAATTCCTTTCTTGGCTATTTCACTGAAGCTGAAGTAGGGCAGACATTCACCTTTAGGAACAATATAGTAGGTCTGATTAAGCTGAAGTGTCACCTTGTACATCTCTTCAAAGTGATCTGGAAAAGAAACAAAACCATGAAATAAAACAAATTTCTGTCAATTTCCAGCATGACATTTATCTTTCACTCTTTTTGAAATTGTAATATGCCCAGCTAGGTTCACTATATTAGCAGGGAGACAGCTCTGTGAAAGAACACTTACTCTAGCTTCCAGTTACTTGTTTGCTTATCTTCAATAATGGATGACTTAGGACATACTCAAATATATAAAGCTCCCAGACATTCCTATACTAATTCTAAAACCCAGTATAATTTATCACTCTTTGTCTCCACCTGAAGAGCCTTAGTGGCTCATTATCACATGCCACTTAAAATTCTGTATCAGTCATAAGTAGCCTGCCCCATATTACATTTTTATCACATTTTAGGAGATTGACGTTACACTGACTGGATTTCACTGCTACGCTAAACTTCTAAAATCAGATAGGTTGAATGAAGTTCTTCCTCCCACAGCACAACAGAATAAATTCTGTCAACTCTCATATGAACAAAACCTCGCTGCCAGCAACAGAATTGCCAGTAACACATTTGTCTGAGCTGAGATGCAGGAGAGCCTCTACTCTTCCAAAGAGGCCAAATTCTTCCCCTGACTATACTAGACAGCACTTTCAATCACTTCATTCATTCCTGCTGGTCTTTCATAACCAAATAAACTTCAGACAAGTTCACAGGTGACTGAGAACAGCCTTTGGCAAGAGCCCAGAGGCAGACTTGAACTCACACTGTCAGCATCAGAGACGTTCTTTAATTTTTTTAAACTGCTATAGGCATCATAAGTTCAACTGTCCCTATTCAGGTAAAGACACTTTGTGTAACTGAAATGTCATTTCTCCACTTAAAATGTAAGTCTCTTGGGGCAGGGAATGTAATGCTTGCTGCTCCGTAAGGTATCAAGCCTCCACCCATGCTTGGTCACTATTAAACAAAGCAGCACATAATGTTGATCCAGGTTTGGATTAGTGAGTACAAGAACCACCTGACTTCTTTTTCAGCTGCTACCAGCCCTTTTCCACAGCACTGTACAGGGCTTCTTAGCTCAGTCTGAGAGTAATGTTGAACCAAAAAGGTCAGGCAGCTCAAGAGAATCCCCACAGAAAGTTTACCAGTGATGCATTTTACATACCCTGGCCACAGTCACCAGCATCAAATCCACAGGAGAGGACGTTGCAGGCCTGATCACAGAATTTGTCTGCCAGCCAGGAGTTAGCACAACCTTGGTTACAGTATGAAACACCACTTATTCCTGCACCAAACTGCCATGGTGGTCCATTCCCAATACCTCCAACTGCACCTCCACCAGCAACATAGCGACTACCCCCACTGTTACCTAAGGAAAAAAAAACAAAAACAAAAACACCAGAAATAAGAACTTCAAATTAAGGAAAAAACTCACATTTTAAGCCACAGTGTTGAATCTAGACTGAAAACTCAACAATCAGCAGTGAAATTAAAAAGGAGTCAAATAATATATAAAACTGTATATACATTATACAATAATAAATCATACATTTCAAACCCCTTCCTTTCAGCTAAATTTGGTACCTAAGTAAGAATTTTCCTATGCCCTCCTATTTCCTGTCATTTATAAATTTGTATATAAATTTGTAGTTTGCAAGAAATAAGGTTTTCATCGGTATTTGTTATTATTAAAGAAGGCAAATTTTATAGTTAGAGGAAAATGAAAAATTACAGAATTATTCTTGTAAGGAAAAACAAACAGTTCATTTTTCTAAATTTAACATTGCTGTCTTACCAATGCAATCGCCTCCATCCCAATCACATGCTGAGTTATTACAGGCTTTATCACAGTAACCATCTTTAATCCATGAGCCAGGACATCCCTCAGCACAGTTTGGCACAGGCCAAGTCAAGTAAACCTGGAACAATATCACAGTCTGAGACAAGGACTCAAAAAACTGAAGTCAATTGAGCTTGTTTCTTGAAATATGGAAACTTAAAATAATGCCTCCCTGTATGCTGTGCCTTAAGATTTCACAAAGCTTTACAAACATCATTTAAACCCTATCATATGTGAAATAAATGTTATTAGTTTCAAACAGAAGGAAGAAATTAAGAATTCTCAAGGCCATACAGCCAAGCAGCAACGGCCAGAAATAGAAAGCAGGACTTCCCAAATCTACTTCTGCAAACCACAGACCAATGAAAACTAGCATTTTCTCTTTTGTCAGAGAGGAAGGGTGAACTTTATTCTGAAATAGCTGCGCAGTTCACTTGTTCTCCTGACTCAAAATGTTTCTTCATTACTAACCAGTCATGAGATAAGCAGCACATGTTGAACATAATCCCTGAAGCATCTGATCCTGTGACTTAAATAATTCCGAGAATTGGCATGATAAAAAAAAGTGCGTAGGTGTGTATATTTTCAACGGGGGAGGCATTGAAAACCACACACGTTTTCCTTGAGGCCTTATGGTTTCAAGATTTTAGCAGCACATTCCCTACTGAAACACGTGCTGCTCAGGTTATCACACACAATGCTGCTCCTATGCTGACTCCATCGTAACTGGGATGAACAAATGAAGAACAATACAAATGCAGTAACAATATATTTTGCAGTTATATGCCTAGATCCTCAGAGATTTAAAACAACTCAAAGCTTCCTAACATCCTCAAGTACTGAAGCAGCTATTTTGGTGTAGCCTAAACTAATTTTGTGCAACCCTCTTCTGTTTGTGCAACAAGTGTGCAGATCTGCCTGCATGAAATGTTTAATTCAATGGTCAATTCAATGGTCTCTAGTGCCCTGTGTACTCACTGCTTTAATATAAAAAAAATATATAAATCTTTACTTTTTTCCTCCATACCACTCTTGTAGATCAAGCTCATGGATGAAAACTCTGATGGCAACCAAAGCCTTTATGCATAACTACTGTTAATGTTTCCTCAGCCTGCTCTTCTTGCTTAACCCCAGCTGTTGATAATAGGTTTGCTGAAAGAGTAAATTACTTTGTGTTCACGAACATGGAACAATATCCACTTCAGTAAATAATTATATATATGATTATACACAGATTGAGCAAAGATATTCCTGGTATCTGGAACAGAGGTAATTAATGGTAAATTTAAATATTAGACCAGTTTAAATGTCACCGGACCTCAGTGTTCCCACAGAAGAATTGATTCTGGTTTGAGTATTTCCCACAAAACAAAAGGAATATTCAAGGGAGCAAAGACTGATAGCTGCCAAACACCACATCAGTCTTACTAGTGCTCTAACAAAATGTGGGAGAATTAGAGAACACTGAAACTAAAGCATGAAGCCTGACAGAGGAACCATTATACCCCCTGAAACCTATGAACGAATATGAAGAAAAGCAATCGGCAACCCAAACATCAACACACCACACATAAAAATAGAGACAAGAGCCTTCTCCACCCTGCACCTTTGCTAACAATTGTCTAATTAAGAATAATGAACCCTTTGAGACAAAAGAGGGAGTGGAGGGCAGAAGGAAATAATCTTATATTTACTCTGCCTTTCAAAGTAGCATTTCTGTGATTTTCATTATATTAGCATAGAAAAGTTCTACGTCTACTTCTGATACAGTATCTTTTCATAACGGCTTACCTTTTGACCTTTAGAGTGACTGTAAAAATCATCAGGCCAAACATCCTTCCCAAACATAACATCATCATTGAGATAAATAAACTTCTGAGAAAGGCCACTGATACGATGTATATGACTTTCAATAGCTGGTGAACTGAAAGTAGGCAAATGACTCACATTCTGAAATATTTCCTGAAACAAGAAAGTCACCACCAACAAAAAACAGTTTCAGAATGAAAAAAAACACAAACAAACCCCAAACAACCCCAAAACAAACAAACAATAATAAAAAACCCCAAGGTCAGGCACATCACATATTTGATACTTATCTACTAAAAAAAATTATAAAGAACAGGAGAGATGAAAGGAGCAAAAGTATTCTAGCAAATGAAGACGTCAATATCTCATTTTTCCCATATAAAATCATTTTCAAGTCTGCTGCTTAACTAAGAAACTGTACCTGGTTCATTACAAAGACACAAACTTTCACACACTCCTCTTTCGTTGGGTAGTGGATCAGTCCCAATGTACACATTTATTATTCTCATGAAGTACAGGCTGCACAAAATTTCCAGCAAACTGAACCTCTTCCAGCATTCAAAAAAATCAGGATTATACCATCTCTTTCAAATAACTTCACAAGCAGACAGCAACAGAACTTGAATTAATATCTTTTTACCACTTTGAGCTCAGAGCTCCTATGGCACGTCCAGATGCCAAAATTACTCCCAAATTCGTTAAGAAGCTACTTGATTATTTTTGTTTAATTTATTCAGGAAGTTTGAAGTATTTCTTTTCTCTTTTTGAATAACACTTTTGGAATGCATAGATACTTTTTTTGTAGTCAACTTCTCAGTTCCAGTAATTATAATCCATCCTGTCTCAACACAAGCTTATTAAGATTATTACTGGTTCTGACAGTGTCTATGGATTCAGATTACATTTTCTTCTCTCCAGGTTTTTTATAAATAGACTCCATAAGGAAATTAGACATGGGTATACATTAGCTGAAGCCTGAATATTTGAAAAAGTGGACTAAATAAAAGCTTGACATATATTCAGTTATGTGATTAGCCAAAACACAAAGACATACTGGGGTTTACTAAAACCAAGGATGAGACAGGGAAGAGGCTGTCACTTCTTCCAAATAAATGCAGCCTTTAGCTGAAAGTGGATAACTGCATTTCAAAGCTAACACAGCATCTTTACTAGCGGCACTTTCATATCAGTGTTTTTGTTTGGGGGTTTTCTGCTTGGCTTTTGTTTGGGTTTTACCTGATGTGTCACTATAGTTATCCGAGGATTATCCAGGTTAAGCCAGGAAGGAATCTGCCCATTGGTGACGATGAAAATATGTCGTACCCAAGGGGCATGCCTCTCTATTGATCGTAAGGAGTATCTCAGCTCTTCATTATCTTCAAAACGGCTGGCAGAAACATCTTCATCCTGTTTGGACTATAAAAAGAAAAAATCCATCCTTAAGATTCTAAACAGAACATTCAAGTTCTGATCCAGCTAGGTCAGGATAGTGTGCTATGGGTGCATAAGCACTTCAGGACTTAGTCATTCAAAAATAAAAAGTACATTGATCAATAACAACTATTCTTACAAAGGATCATATTCTCCTGAATTATCAGGATGAACAATACAATCTTCTGACATCATTGGCTGACCACCTGGTATCATTAGGATGTCTGTTTGACCACACTGCAAGGTGACACTGCCTTGTGTGATACTAGTTCTTAAAGAAAGAAGCCTAGTTAAAAAAAAAAAAACAACAACCTCCTGCATTTCAAATCAGTAACATTTCAAATCAGTAACATTACCTTTAAGAAATCCAGTTTCAAGAGGCTAGGACCTTCCAAGTACATTGCATCATAAACTGTATTTAAATGTCACCTAATATAGATATACTGGAAGTGTCATGATGTAGCAGCTCTGCAATTTTCCCCTGCTCAGTTATTTTAAAGAATTTAAGCAAGAGAAAATTAACAAAACTTTGCCTAATACTCACTATCAAATAGCTTAATGTTTCTATATGTTTTTATTAAAGAGAAATTTCTTCAATTAGAAACTCATTTGTTAAGTAACAAAATTAGGTTACACGACACAGTAACACGTCTCTTTTCTCTTCTATGAGAACTTAATGATCTCTCCTAAAACCTACAATTAAAGCTTACTAACAGGAACATTTCTAAAGTCCAAATGAAACAGGAAACTTAAAAAAATATTTGAATGTTTAACAATTACCATTTTCACTGCAAATTCTAGACACAAAATGAGCCTTCTTTTCTAATATGTAACATCATCAAAAGTGTAATACCTGAAAACATTTCAGCAACACCAGCAGCCATTGCCTAGGTATCCATTCCCAAAAAAATGCATAATTTCAACATGGGGAAATAAAAAGTTTTAGTTCAGGGTTGATAGGTAGAGTTCCCTAAAAGCCCAGTTGACAGGATACAAAGACACTGCAAGCTTTTCTGGGTTGGGCACATTTACTTTACCCATGCCACTTGACATTTACTGTAAAATTAAATTCCAGCAAGAGAAAACCCCTAAGATTTTAGAAAATCTTATCTTGAAACAGACACCTTATTATTTCATTTCCTATTTCTAAACCAAACATCCTTTCTGCATCAAAAGCATTCAAAGTAAGCCTCCTTTCCTTACACACATCTGTATTTCAGGACTTCAGCACTTGTGGAAGAGAAGCAATTAGCATTTGCTCAGCATAAATGATGCTGCAAAGCAAAAAATTACTGAGAAACTTATTGGGAATGAGATAATCATGTTTGCTAATAAAAGCTTTTATCTGCCCCACACAGGAAGCCTGCTTATCAGCCAGTCAGTATCAGTTAAGACTTTCAGGACTTCACTGCAACACAACTTTATCAGAACATGTACAGAGGGCAAAATTTTTCACTTAGTGGAGAACACGAAAACTTCAATTAAATGTCACACTGCTTGATTCTTCCCTCTCCTTTACCTGAGAATTGGACAGTGTTCTTGTGATGTTTCTCACAACCTCATAGGCACTTGATTCTTAATACTTCCAAGCTTCTGGAAGAAATCCCATGTTCCTTGTCACAGGTAGCCTCTACTTGCAGTTTTTAAATGCTGTAACCTTTATGTGCTGTAACAGATTTTACCTACCTGACTGACAGAGCTGAGGTCCCATAATAAATAAGCAGGATTAAGCACCAGTTCTTTCCCATCTATAGTCATGTTCTTCTTTGCTTGCTTGTTCAGTTCTTGGAAACCCTTAGGGTTATTCAGTTGCAAGAGAGCCACGCTGGCTTCTGAATAAAGCTGTAACTATACAAGCAGAGAAAACAATTTCTGGCATGCAGCACTCTTTCTCTGCCAATTCCATATTTTTGTTGTATTTTTCTTACTAGAGTAACTAATAAGAATGACTGCTAAGTAATGTATTTAAAGAATTACAATTTTGTAAGAACACAAAAAGGAGTAGTAAAATGGGAAATGAAAAAACATTTAAAGATACAGAACATTTCTAGATGCTTAGTTTTCACTTTACAAATAAAATTTCTCTTTACACAGTGATCCAGTCAGCAGTAAATTTGTTCATGTTATAAATGTTTCTGGAGCAAGTGAATACTAAGTCCCCATCCATTCCCTCCCACCCCAATAACAAAATTCATGTTTTATTAAAATTTTATTACATGACTAGAAGAATCATCCTTTTTTTTTCCATCTTAATCAAGCAATGATCTTCTCAGAAAATTAAGGGCACCAATGTATCGTCGCTGTCAGACGCGTGAAATTTTCAGAATGGTTTACAGTTAGTTCAACCTACAGCTCCGAAATCTGAGATACAAAGGGCTCCAGAGCTAATCCATATGGGTCTCCAATCCCTTAATGATGGTTGCCAATATGCTGTTAAGGTCATTTCTTAGCTGAGGGCTGTTTGATCTGTTTGCTGTTTTTATCTCTTGCCACCAGTAGGTCTGTATATCAGATTTCATAATGCACAGGATGAGGGGCTTGCACTACACACCCGCTCACCCTTTCTCTAACAGCTTAAAAATGACAGGGCAACAAAGCATCTCCCCAGTAACATGGCATAACCCAATAAAATGCTGTGTTTACCATATGAAGTAGCATGAGCAGATACAATCAAGCTAAAAGCAGAACTGCACTTTGATTTTCCAAGGGTATGCCTAATTAAGAATAAATGCAGTTAATCAATAACGATATTTATTTGAGCCTATGCTTAATTTTTGTTCCTTCAAGCAACATAAGACAAATAACTACATCTACTCGGTTTTCAGTTGTATAAGATCTGTAAATGCAATTCAGAAGCTACCAAAATTTAAATAATGTCAAGTTCAAAAAAAGCAAATCCATCAGTTTCTTTCATAATAACCTTAAGTGGTTTTATTTATTTTTTATTAAATGTGACCCTTTCTGCTTATTTTAAAACACCCCTTGTCCCAGAGTTAGCAGCCCTTCCCTTAGTAAGACCAGCTGTTCCACTTGTGACATTTCAAAGCTGTTGATGCTTTGACTCATATGCTATTTGAGATCTTTCAATCTGACTTATGAGGCCTGCCATTAGAAAAATCTGATAAATCTCAGACCTTCCAAGGAATCATCTGAACCTATGGGTAGAAAGGATGGCTTCAGCAGAGGGCTGAGGTATAGTTATGGACTGCAGCCAGCAACCTCCAAAAATATCAGGATCGAAATGCTACAGATTACAAAGCTGCCATCACTGAGTATGTGCTTTATTTAGGAATACAACAGTGTCACACAGTCCTTTAGAATCTGTTATTTAAAACATACATATAACAAACAAAAATATTACCATTCTAGAGCTTTGAAAGCATTCGAGAACATTCAGTTTAACTTGTTCCCACCAAACTCAGCAAAATAAGTACCTGTACTACAGACTCCTACCTAGATTTATTACACACACTTCCCCTTGCCCCCCACTAATACAGCATATATGCTGCAGTTTTTTTAATTTGTAATATTCCAAGCACAAACAAGAAGTAGTGGAAAAACATGCTCAGCATCAGTTAAGCTAAACACTGAAATAAATAGATTATTTTTATTACCTCAGTGTGGTTTTTTTCCAGTAGTATCTTTTTAAAGAAACCAGTATTTTCCTAAGCAGAGCTATCAATTAAGATAGATTTCAGTGAAGTTATCTGGTGACAGTACTAACTAGACTCTAATAAATTGCAGGCTCTGCTCCTAGCATTTTGTTGCTGGTACATTCAAAATGGAATTTTCTGGCAGATTTTCTACTGTCTCACAGGTATTAACCTCCTCTCAGTAGGGATGCACACTATTGCCCATTCCCTTGGAATATTACCTTAAACAGAACATCTTCATCCTGCCAAAGCAGGTCAGCAGATCTAAAGGCATTGTAAAGATAGAATAGAAAAACCAGCAGATAGATGGACAGTGTGACCAGGCGAGGCTCTGCTAACCCAAGTGGGCTGAAAACACACCCAGACCACCACTGCACATTTCTATCACACACTTGAAAATGAGACAGGAAAACTGCATTTTCTCCATCAGGTAGCTTTAAAAGCAGGTTCTCCTTTGGAGCCAGCATGTTTGGCATTGCTTACTGGGAGACAGGTTAGATGAGCTCAGACATCTCATGTGGAAGTAAACACCTTCATTTCCATTTTCTCAAGGTAAAAGGCCTCGGGCACTTTTTTTTCTGAGGTGGGACTTAGACTCTTAACCAGTCTTCAAATTATTTTGCTTTATCTTCTTAATGACCAAAGTTGATGGTCAAATGAGATGCTCCTTTTTCCACACTACAGTATGGATATTGGGAAAATTCATATGCCCACACAGCAGGGAAAGGAGGCCATGTGTTGTGTTAGAGCTAAAAACACTTTGATGAACATGAAACACTATTGTCTTTACAAACGTCTCAAGTTCCCTTTATAAAGTGATACAGTAGGAGGCTCATCTCTGAGCCAAAACTAATGCAATGCCTTAAAGCTTTTTTCTACCAAGTTTACTTACTCCATCTGTGTGATCATACAACACCAACTCCTAAAGCCACCTGTCTGCTCCAACAACACTGACAAGCCACAGTAAGAATCCCAGACCCCTCATCCTCAAGGCAGTGAGGACAGCAAAACACCCAGCACCACTCTGCCTGCAGGTTCCCAGGTGAATTTTCTTCCATTAGTAAGACAAGGTCAATAAGATAGCCCTTAGTTTCTAGCATACTTGCTCATATTTGTGTATACGTGTGCGCATGTGGATTAAAGGAGACAATATTTCGCAAAGAGGGAGATCTTGAGGTTGCTTGAGGCAACCAGGATATCAAATCTTGAAGGAAAATCACCTTTCTCCAAAAATTTTCACTTCTATACGTAATTTCAGTGAAAAATTGTTAGCACGACAGCCTCAAAAAACCAAAATCAAACAAATCAAATCCTTTTGCCCAGTCAATCCTTCCCTTGTCAGTCTTTATATCATGACTTAAAAATTAAGTCACAAATGTCTCTTTTAACTGACTAACAGTTTTCTTTAGAAATGTAGTTAAGGGGTGGGAAAATTAAAACAAAATGCTCAGTTGTTCTTCCTGTATAGGTCCAACATAGTATCTTTTAAACAGCTCAGTAGCCATCAGCTGCACAACCAGAGTAACACCTCCATCTAGTGGCTTGTTACGCTCAGTTAAGAAAGCACAGACAATAAAAAGCAGCCAAATATAATTTTTAACCTTATCTGTCATAACACTCACAATGTAGAACAACAACTATGACCAACAGGCTGCTGATTAACTTGCATTTGGAAATAAAATTCCATATCATTACATTACACCATAGGCCATAAGTACAAAAATTCAGTAGACTGTAACAGACATAATTCACCTTGGAAATGAAACCATTATATCACAAATCTTCACTTTTTAACCACTTCTAGTTGACCTCAGCTGTTTTTCTCGGAGATTTTTAGAAGAAACATCTGGCCCAAATGTCTGAACAATTTTTGGCCCTCCTTGGACTCAGAGGGGATTTGAATCAAACTAAAGCAACCCAACTAAAACAGTATTATCAACATGCAACACAAAATCACTGACAGCTACGCTCCTCCTACTCACCAACAGCTATACTCCTCCTTTTCTCACTTTTCTTCCCTTCTAACAGCAGCATTGCTGGAAGTGTTTTTCATCACTTCTTTACTTCCAGCATTGCACGAAGACACAGTCCCTCAAAGCATGCAGAAACCCATTAAGCATCAGAGGGCATCTATGAGACAAGTCTAGCTTAAACTCAGGTGCAACTTTCTTCCTCTGCACCGGGCATCTCACACCACTTCAGAGAGCTTAGATTAAGAGATATGATAACAACAGAGGAATTGCTTTAGATTTCAGAGAGAGAGACTACAATCAACCAAAATTTCTCCTACTTAACTGTAGCATTAACGTAGCGTATCTCTCCGATAAGAAGAAAACCACACTTGGCTGTGTTCACCATAACTGCCTACCTACAACATCCACTGAAAGGACGGAGTCTGAGCTTGGACCTTAGCAAAGGCTTCTATAGAAACATTTCATCCAAACTTCATGTGTAAAAAATTTTATGCATGCTGTTGCCTAAATGGCTGTGAGGAAAAAAAGACTCCAAGCCAAATTAGGTAGGAGATAAGATAAGGATACAAAGGTTTAATGAGCCCCCACGCTTTCTGGAATACCTCAGCACACGCTCCCGAAATCGAGATGTTCACAGTTTTATAATGATTGTCGCCCAATCCCCGTCCTGCCACCACCCAGGTTCTGCCCTGCCACGCCTCTTGGAAATTGGGTCTGGGGGCATTTTGGGACCCCCTCTTCTTCATCTTCATCTTCCTCAGAGCACGTAATGTCCTTGGAGGCCTTCCAGAACTCTAGGCCTGAAGGTTGTTGGGTCTATGTCTATATCTTCTTGCACAGGGTTAGGATGTTCTGCCTTGAAAAAGAGACTAAACATGCTAAGGAATTAAGGGAATTGATACGGGAATGGGTAACAGGGGTTTGAGCTGGTGTGTTAAGGGTAAAGGGTAATATTGCTGCTACTCTAAAATCTACCTTTACTACATAACTACTTCTAAGATCTACAAAAATTAAAAAAATCTAAACATCAAAACTCCAAGGTATCAATGCAAATAAAACATTTCTTACATTTATATACATATATTTCAACGTAAGTACAACATACAAAAATCGCTGCTATCAAGAGTAGAGAACTGGTTGAGAAAGAACTCACTGCTATGACCACATGGGGTACAACAATCCCAGTTAATTGTTCTAAAACATCCACCACTAGTAAAAGAAACACAGAAAGCAAAGGTGACTGGAAAGAGAAACTGCAGAATGCTGTGGGTACCTGACAAAAGATTGTGTTTATACAGAGATACGCCTAGCCAAATTGCAGAAGAGAATTCTTAGGAACAGATAATGAGTTGATCACAATGGCAATGTTTACACAGAGATAAGAACACACTAAGGAAAAGGGAACCAGCCAGCACAAATAGATGACACATGACTGATCAGAAGGAAAAAAACATAACCGAGACAGCATAGGGAAAAATCATGTAGAAACATGATAGGCATGGGATACCACTTCCATAAAAACAGAAAAGGAGATGGAAAATGTATCTAAGACAACCCAGAGATACAGCCTTTATGTTCATCTGGACAGCAGTGGAAAAAAAAACAACACTGAGAAACCATAGTATTTCTAAATTGGCTAAAAAGCTAACCTGTTGGTCAGCCTGGACACAGACAACAGATTAGCCAGCTGCTTGGATATAAGAAGTACAACTGAAACACAAAAAGAATTGATCCATCATGTTTTCTGTTGGACTAATACTGCTAGGAGAGCCTACTGAAATGGAAAAAGTGAAGTTGAAAGCAATCAGCTGATCAAATGAAAAAAAAAAATACTGTAATCAAAAAACTAAGGTCCAGGCAGAATTGTTCCACAAGTCTTAAGACCACAAGAAAATAATAAAACCAGCAGATGGCTCAAATGTAATCAGGAGAAATCCAGGTATTTCATTCTTCAAAGGTGTCCATGAAAGATGAAGTGTCTCTGCTCTAGCACATGGGCTAGCCTAAGGTCTGTGCTTGACACATTCACAGCAGAAATCCTGGAGATAATTATGAACTTCTCAATGCTGGAAGCAAAAAGTCCACACAGGACAGAAAAAAAAGGAAAAAACCCTATCAAAACTGACTTTGCAATAGTCAGATAATGCAATTAGAGAAATAACTACAATGAATGAAGACAGAAACTATCTGCAGAGAGCTGAGGAACAAGGAAAAAACCAGAAAAAACCACCCCTCAACAGGAGGTATTCGTATACTAAAATACTGTGTTTTAGCAGCAAAATTATTAGTACAGGCCATG